TTAGACTCACTCGCATCCATCGAGCGCCTCCCATTCTGAGTCTTGGTCACATGACAGGAAGGCCGGATGATGGTCTCGCGTCTATTGTGTGCGGTAATATTATATCCTCCATTCCCACACCGATGTGGTTCATTAGAGCTTCGAGGAGGTCTCAAGTCAATCACTGCAACACGGATTCCTGGAAGAAGGGAACGTAGTAGCAAGTGAGGTGCCCATAATGGGGCTGCTTGCGGTGCAGTTAAATTGTGCCAGTAAGTAGTGCCGTCTCCACATCTGCAATAGTTGAGTGATGGCCAGATAGGCGGTCGAGCACCACTGAAGTGCGAACCTGGTGGTAGAGAAGTACTGATAACGCACATTATCTCCGATAACTTGTATTAAATTTTGGCCTATCCTTTAACCTTAGACGTTTAGAAACACGTCTATCTGAACAGCGTTTGGCGCACCATCCACCCCCGAGCAGTGTAAAATCAGTGAATCCCCGTTCCCTAATTCTGTTCATCCAGCGGACCTAAAATCATGTACTTTAGAGCCGACGTTTGGATTAAATGTCTTCTCACCTCCATGCAAATGTGATTGCTGTCTTTTCTGTGTAGTGAACAGGTTTTTTTTATGCCACCAACTCTAATCGCAATGCCTGCCTGAATTGACCCAATTGTTTGACCAGTCAACCAACACCTACACATCAGACATGTTTAATCACCTTTCCTACTTTTTAACACGAATGGCGAAATGTAGGTTGATGCTGTTTAAAACGTCCCTACTCCCATCCACAACATCTACGACTTGACACCTGTCCATCTGGATCCTTGCGATTAGAGTTGGTGGCCTACAATGTAGAAGGATGGAGTGTAAGGAGGAGATAAATAGTGAAGTTGTTAGTAGACAAAACACTGCAAACCCTCTATCACTTTGTATTCAGTCATCGGGATGTCAATACGAAACCATGCACAGGCATAAAACCAATTCTTCATGCTGTCACTACATACTTCCTCAAGTGATCCATCAATGTGTCTGCAGAAATGAACTATGAGGTATGGGCATTAAATGCGTTTATTTTAAGCAGATAAGGCAATTGCAATTTAAACCATTGTTATGCAATCTCAAGAGTAAGCTTATTTCATTGCAAGGTAAATCCAATAAGGGTTTGGGTATGCAGACGCACTTAGATCAAACTGAAGTTGAGAGTGACCTCGATCAGTCATAATGGCCTACCAACATAGGGCCTTTCCGCTAGGCCAATTAAGACCACGGAGAATGGGGTTACCACTATGTTGAACAGGTGATAATCTTCTCGACTTATCAGATCAAATTTTTTATTAAATGGTTGTGGCTTTGGTCTTGTGATGAGCAAGCAAGATAACCACCTTGTTCTCCCTTCCCTCAAAACAGTTCCCCAACAGGACAAAATTCCAGATGCAGTAGAATTGCCAAGAGGGAGCCGTAAAGTGACACTCACATATCCTTTCAGATGCACGTCGATGCGGCGACTGACGCTGTTGGTTAGTGGATACTTATACGTGTAGCACAGACTACGTTGTGATGGCCAACGCCATACATTCGCTGTGTGGTGTGGTCTCTAAATCACGGTAGTAACCCCCAGCACAATCCCCATGCTTATGCTATACATTCGGTCTTTGTAGTGTCTGTTTTTCGCCTTCAAAGTTTTGCGACACCGTCCACTGGAGATGGCGTATACCAACAGCAGTGCAAACCACTAACTCGATGGCTAGCAAAAAGGAGGAGAGAAGGAAAGAGAAGGAGGCGCATCTCAAATTTCAGGCAGATTGGACAACTTATCGCATTCCTACTCATCTAACTGGGGGTGGGTCAAGGTCCCAAACATCCCTCGGAATTAATTCCACTACAACATTGGTTTATGTCAAGTAATCATCCAAAAGAACAGTCATTTGTTCTTAGTAAGCTAAATGAGGAAAAATTTGTGAACCGTATTTACGAGTTAAAAGCCTAATATGTAAATAGGTAGCAAATGCACTACTCCCATGGGTCCGTAAATTGGATTGTAAGTTCTCCACTTTTCTTAGATACTTCGTTTCGAAAGTAAGCCGTAGAAACCAACTTGTGCTGGGGTTTGAAACACTTTCTGCTTTGATGATCAATAAAGTAGTGTCTTCAAAAACTTGGGCCATTTGGGTTCTTCCACTCAGAGGAGTCACATGTCTCGTCAGCAGTGAAACACCTTCGATTAAGCAGAGGAGCTACGTACGTTCGAGATGCCCTCTACACTTTGACCATTTGTCATCGCGTTATTCGACAACACCGATCTGCCCTAAGCGACAAACACGACATGAAACTTGATCCATCATCAGAAGGAAGTCCAGCCCTCTTCAGTGAACATCTAGTAAATTGGAAGGTGTGAAATCTGGGGTGGTCGTCCCACAGGGCATGTATCAGTATGGAGGGAATGGGGGAACAATGAAGCTCCTTAGGTCATGAGTCAACTAATGCTGTCTCAAAAGTAGTAGATATTCCTCAACCTGCTTTTGCAACCTATCAAGACTTTGAGGTCCTCCTAGTCGTGCATTGTGGGAGTGTACGTCAGCATTCTCTTGTGTTCAAGTGGTCCACCGCAATGTCTTCCGTCACCTAGAAAGCAATGAGAAATGCCTTGGTGAAAGTACTGCCACCCAAACAGCAAGAACTTGATGCAGCACAACTTACTCTTTGGTAAAACAAGATGTAGAGCGATTGTCGCAGAACGTGGCGCTGTTTCCGTTGAGTCGTCTAATTGCATTGCACATAGAGCAAGAAAATCAGAAGTTAAGACGAGGTTGTTGATAAAGCAGAACAAAGGTGTGAAGGGTGGTGCTCTCACGGTGTCGTCGTTGTGACAGTACCACAGATTGTACCGACGTCTGGTGAAGGCCACATAGTGTCCGCATTGTGAGTGGCCACCTCGGTGGTTGATGGTGGGGTATAGGCGATACCGCACAGGCGGACCACTCGAATCAGCCATGTGTGGAGTCATGCCGAAGAGGAGGGGGAAGTCCACGTGATAGTCCAACTTGTCATTCCGTGGAGTGAATCTGACGGAGTGGAAATTGCGGGAGTGGATGAAAAGACGTCAGCTTCAAATTTCCCCTATCACTACGCATCTCGCATTGGCAGGTTGTGTCTACCACCACCTGGTGATGACACCACCACCCATGCGATTTGCATATGCCTATCCCAACAGTTTGATGCAAACCCTTCAATTCCTTTCACTTAACCCAACCGAGCCGAAGGAGTCAATGTGTGCAAGGTCAGTCATGGTCGCAGAGCAGGCGTTCGTAATTTTGCTGCACTAAGTGGAGCCTAGTTGAATGGAGCTGGAGCACAAGAGAGAGGTGGTAGTTAGTCCACTAACCTATTTAATTGGACAATCAGAATGGGAGGCGCTTGATGGATGCGAGTGAGTCTGG